TGTTGTTGTTGTTTTGTTGTTGTTGTTGCTGTTTGTCGTTTTGTTATTGCTGTTGCTTTTGCTAATTTTGTTATTGTTTTTATAAGAAAAAAGAAAGTAAATGAAAAGGAAAAACAATGAAAAGAAGGCGAAAGCGACATTTCATGTCGTAGGCCATCGAAAAAAAAAGGCAAAGAGGGGAAAGATAAGATGGATTACGGCGTGTGGGAAGATAATGGAAAAATAAATGGCCGAAAATTTAAAGCGACATCTTCATTCTTTTTTTCTTCCTTTTTATTTTTCTATTGTTTATTTTGAAATACCACTATCAATTAATTTTACTTTCAAATTAAAATTGAAGCAAAAACGATTTATAATAATAACTTTATGTACTGATTACTAATTCACAACGTTAGGATTATTTGTAATGTACAAGTGCAACAATTATTGATCAAATTAAATCATTTCAAATTTTTACATATTAAAATTGCTGATTGACGATGGTATATCTTTTAAAATTTTCGAATATTTCGATTTAATTGCTCATTTATTCGTAATATTTATATTTTGCGATCAATAATTACTATTACAATTTATTAGACAAAAAAAAGAATTTATTAGACATATAAAATGATATAATCTTTAAATTACTGTAATGGTGAAATGCTGCATGAAAATATTAATTTCATCGTAAAAAGTAATAAAGTTATCCGGATCATTTTTGGAAATTTCGAAAAGTATTTATTAAGATAAAATATGCGAAGTTATTTTTGTACTACTGTGCGACACTTTTTTTCTATTCGAAGAAAAAAGCAAGACTTTCGTTTGCTGAAATTTCATGAAAAATTTCACTTCATTCAATTCTTTTACCTATCATTTAGTTGATCAATTACACTCAGATTAAATATGTTTGCAATTAAATTCGTAGTACTATCTTGTTAGTTTATAAATTTTAAGTTTAGATTTAATCGACAAATCTCTAAATGATAGCTACATAGTAAATGAATTAGATCATACAAATTTTTATTATGTATTTGTGATTTCCAATTATAAGTCTGATTTTATGAACCATATTTTCCAAGTGTAATTTTTTAAGCTTAAATATTTTATTTAGTGTGATTAAGAAATATCTAATCACAGCTATTGAAGATAATTTCTTTTTTACACGTATTTTTTAAGTATTATTGTATTTTCATGTGCAATATTTATATTATAAACTTCTGCCATTTACATGTTTAAAAATGAAATGAACATGCAAAAGAAAAAAATATTTTAATAGTATGTAATGTGAAAAGATTACTTTATCAAAGTGATATATTTCACATTCATCCGTTCTTCGTGTTACTTAATTTTTTTTTCTGATTTCCCATCTATTCAAACATATACTTATTTACTAATAATCAATACCATCAAATTGAACAATTTCAAAAAATACTAATAGGATGTGCATTAATAAAGATAAAAATAATACAAATACAATAAAAAAATGCATTAAAACTTTCGTTCGTTTATAATTGATGAATTAAAAATGAATTAAATATTTCCGTCTTTTCTATTTTTAAAAAATTCAAAATTAAAAGAAATCAACTTTATTGTATTTTAAATTTTTATTCTAATGAAATTTAATGCAATATGCTATTGATCAATGACTGCATCAAATGATTTTTATTCAGTGGAAAAAATCTCCTGTCATCTTAAAATGCGAATAATTTTAACTATAATTTCAATTAAATACATTCAAATGAAGAGCGTTAGCAATAAAATAAGCCTGAACTTATTGATGGTGCTAAAAGTTATTTGCCAACAATGAAAAATAAGAAAAACAGCCGATACAAAGTTAGTAATTGATAAAAAAAATCGTCATATTATAGTTATTTTTTTTTTCTGCTCCCAAAATAAAATAAATTAAATACATATTAATTTCAATAAAATTATAGCTGAATGTTTCATCATATTATATCATGAAAAGCATATTCCATATCATATGAAATAAACAGTACAGTTATTGAACATCATTACAGTATTATCGTGTATTTTACATGTTCTTACATAATCAATCATCTCGTTAAACAGCATTTTCATAAATGACAATATTTGATATTCTCTTTTACATGTTTATTTGCATAAAATATTTTAAGAATATATTACATATTAAAAAATAATTTTCAGAAACACATATATAATATAATTATGTTATATCCAAATATTTTGAAAATATTTGGTAAAAAATATTTACATTTTTCTAAATATCTCAAATTTTAAAATTTTCGAAATACATTCAGTTATGTGAATAACAAAAAATTATCACTTTGAACAGCTTCTGTAAATCATTGCTTTCTAAGTAACATTTTATAAATATTTAAAATAGTAATTTTTAGAATGAAGAAGCAGTATTTAATTTTTATAAGAGATTTTTCTTCCTATGTTCATAAAACTATCAATACGTGAATTCTTTAGCAGGCCTGCATCATTTTTTCTAAATAATTTAAGTTGATTTTTACACGTACTCATATAATTTGAGTACCTGTAAAAGTCAATTTAAATTATTTCAAAAAAAGTAATTACTTTGTAATTTAATTGTCGCCCGATATTAATTTAATCATGAACGATAATTAAATTGCAGAAATATGCTGTTTATTATTAATTACAAAGTGATTATTTTTTGGCATATTTGAACACGTATTTTAAGAATGGATATTTGATTTCGTTAAAATTTTTTTTAGATGAAAAAAGGAAGAAAATAAAAAATATCCATTAAAATCACAGATTTGTTATTGAAAAATCAAACGGGAAAAAGACAAATCATTCGTTCAACGTTGATGAATTCGAATGATGATAAATCGAAATCTAATCGGGAGAGGTGCTAAAAAAAATCTTTTACTTACTTAAACAACAAGTTTATCCACCAATCTTAACATTTCATTTACCATTTACTATATAATGCAAAAATATTATATGCAAATAGAAAAAAAAACATGAATTTTCATATCATTGTAAGGAAAAGAAAAAAATTAAAAGCAGAATAGTATATTCAAGTAAGAAATGAACCATTCGATGATTTATTAAAATTAATTTTCCATTAGATGAAATGTGAAATGTTTTACTTTTCATTTAAATTTTTTTATTACAAACATTTTTAAGTTTTGTTTGTTTTACGAATTATGTATTTTCCAAAAAATACTTTACAACACTTTTTTCTGTTATAATGTTTCCAAAGGTTAATGTTATTTGCTAAAGTTTTTATTTATGACTACATTTTTTAAAAAAAAGATACAGCATAAACACAATTGTTAAAATATTCAAAAAGAGCTAATTTTAATATAATCATATTAAATAATTATATGATGGAAGCGTTTTTCTGGAATAGTTTGAAATTTTTTCGCAGCAAATCGAAATAAATTTCATTTTAATTAGTTGCTGACAATGCAATTTTAACTTAATTATCATCAAATGCTTGATTGTTTCCTGTTCGTCGGCTTAAAATCATCCTAAATCTACCATATTATACTTTTATTCACCGTTTTACCTATCTTCTTTGATTATACAGGTAAGAATTTGTAAAAGGAAATTTTATACTTTATATATAATTCAATTCAACTTTTCTGACTCTCTGTACTTCAGCGGATTTTGAAATAATAGTAACATTAGTATTTCACACAACTACATTTATCATAATTAGCAAATCTATCTAAATGATAAGTAAAAAAAAGATATGAATTTTTACCAGTGATCAAAAAATTGCTTAAAAATAAACAATAGTTATGCTTGTGACATTAGCGCCAATAAATTATTTGGTTAGAAGAATTGCATTGTTTGATAATTGTTATCATTATGATAGGGAATAATAATTGTTTGGTTAGAACGAGGATGAAAAAAAAAAAAGTATTTATGTTATTTACAGCAATATCATCCAAAAAATGTCTCGAATACAATTGACGAATAGAATGAACAACATTTTAGAAATTATCTTTTAGCTTTCGAATTTTAAATCATGTACTTATGTGTATTTCCAGTGAAGTGTATTTTACTCAATTTGCAACGAACATAAATGCATAATGATAAATTTATTTGTATAATAACTGACAATGAATTAGTCTAAATTTTGATAATTGCACTCTTCCGTGACTCATTCATTATTTCTAATTAAAAAAAAAAATGCATCATTTCCAATAACTGTAATTCATAGCACATTTAAAAAATAAATACATCTTTGTTGATGAATTTGTTGTGCTAAAAATTATTTATTCTTCATCGAAGTGAACATTTCTTTCAAAATGATATCAATGATCAGTTTATTTTTATTTTCTGCAATCAAATTTTATTTGATAACAGTAGACATCAATTGGTCACTGATATGTGCATAGTTTTGATAAGGAGAAATGGAATGATAGGAAAAATGTGTGATAACAAAAGATGTAAAGCGCATTTAAGAATGATTTCTCTTTTTTTTTTCTTCCTCTACCATTTACAAAAAATACAAATTAACAACTAACATATACAAACAGTTTCTACGGATGAAATGAACAATTTTGCGTACATTTGATAAAATAATAAAAGAAAAAATCTACTTTCTTTTGTTTGATAAGATAATATTAGACAGTGTTGCATTTGGAATTTGCTTATTAATTCTTGAAAATTGATTAAATCATTCAATCTTCAGAAAACGTTTTTTGTCGGTTTTCTTCTTTTCTTCCCCATATCCGTAAAGTATTAAATGCGAGGAAAAAAAAAAGAACTCCATTATTTTTACATATTCAATTTCAGTTGATAATGTCAGTTTATTATATTTACATCGATAATATTTGTGCTAAATTTTGATTTATAATTTTAATTTATTATGCTTTATAGTGATTATATTAACATAGTTTCAGATTAATGAAATCTATGAATTAGCATAATTCCAATGCAATGTTTTTATGATGACATCATTGATATGATTTCAAATTAATGAGCAGCTTTTTCTTTTTAATTTGTCCGAAGAATCAAATTTCAATGAAGTAAAATAAATTAAAAGAATTGGAGGATTTAGGAAATGTTAGAATGAGATTCATAGCATTAACGGTCAGTTTGTTATTTTATTATTGTTTTAAGTTGGACTTTTTTTATTCTCCAAGTTGAAACTGTGAAAATTTAAAATAAATTGAAAAAAAATAAGTGAGTTGATAAGCTTAAAGGTTTCTAATTCGAAAAATTTATCATTTTTTCTTATTGCATGAGATTAAAAGTTTAGATTGTATCAGGTAAATTGGGTGAGAATTTTGATTGAAAAATAGAAATTATTGCTGATAAAAGATTTCTAAAAAGACAAATAAGGTGAAAGGTTAAGTTTAGTAAAAAGATGAATTAAAGGAAGAAATAAGAAAAAAGGCTAAAAACTAAAAGGATTTGTAACTATTTGCAGCTAGTAAATGAATTAAAACGAAAACAAAAGAAAATAGGAATAATAGGATAGCTTTCTTAAAGTTTAATTCTTCAAAAATTTAATGGTTCAAATTGTAGAAGAGAATAAAGTTTGAAATTGTTCAGGAACTTATTGTTTTTAGTTTATACGAATTGAATTATAAATAAAAATGATGCAAAAGTTTCGTACTTTTATTCTTCATATTTTGAAGTTAGAATTGAGATTGAAAAATTATTGAGGAGAGAGAAGAAGGAGAAAGAGATTGGAAGAAGAAGAAAACAGAAGAAAAAGAAGTGAAAAATCAATAATAAAATATCAGTCAAGTGTTAGAATGAAAGAAAACGTTAAAAAAGAAAAAAAATGAGATGAATGAAAAAAAAAGTGAAATGGAATAGACGATTAATTTTAATTAGTGAGAAATTTTAAGTGATGTATAGTAAACATTTATCATGTGTTTATTTCTGATAGATTAAATTAAAAACAAAAAGAATTAGTAAATAAAAAGAGATAGGCAGGGAGAGAGAGAGAGAGAGAGAGAGAGAGAGAGAAAGA